GTTTGTTAAGACTGCAATGCAAAAATTAGGAGTTCATTTGTGCACTTTCTCCTAATTTTAACACGCAACATCTTTGTCTAATTGTCTATTATTGAGCAGTTAAATAAGAATACCAAAACACGATGTATTCATGCATTTTGTGCCAAATAGCTTACATGAATTAGGCCGTTGACAATGCTCATTTTTTCATATTTTGAATCCTAAAATTAATTATTCTTTCCAAACCAGTGCCTAGAACAATGTCTTTGTCATGGCCACGAAATGTTTTTTTTGAGTTCTGATTTTTCTAAAATTATTAAACCTGCTGTTACATCACCTGTTTCTCCTTAAACTATTTGAAACCTGGTTTGTGGGATATGCTATTGCATTTTAACCTTTTTCCTGCGAATATGCGAATTTGAACGTAATTTATTATTTTCTTAAAATGTGAATTTATTGCACACGTTAAACAAGGTAATATAGGCTAACAAGCAGCACTATCAACCCACTTAGGATTCGATAGGTTTAAGTGGAAGATTCTGACCATGATGAAGCTGCAACAGGTTTTGAATAAATATGAACTATGCCTATTGCACAGTTTTAATTTGGCTTTAACGAACAACTTCGACCTATAAAAACTGCTATATATGAAGCTTTTTAGTAAACAGTTGCATTTTTAGTATTGTAGGCAGTCTCATACACCTCTCGTTTAATGCAAAGTGCATAAAGACCCTCCAAACCCAGCCGCCTAATTGTTATCTGACTTCTCTTATTTACTACTAGGTCGTTCAGCTACCTAATTTACCAACTCTAGTTAATAAGATAAATGTATTTTGTCTAAAGATGTGTAGCGAAGCCATGATCCAACTAGATGCGCGTTATAGTTATGACACTCAGACTTGTCTGAATTTGCGGCCGCGGTTTTTCGAAGCTGTTTTCTGAAGCTATAACATCAGTTTTTGCTTTAATACCGTGCGTACTATTTACGTAGGCGTTTTCACTCCATTTTCCTCGTTGTCGAAATGTGTTTTTTTTCTAGCAGATAAGATTGATGCCGTTAAATAACATATTTTTTTACTAACTGTGCTTAACTTGTTTGAAAATTTAACGCTGTAACCAGGAGCTTTTCAGGTTGCCCAATATTATTTCATGGATTTTTAAGTATTGACCTTTTTGCTTTATAATAATAGACAACTACTTTGATTCGGATACTATCAAATATTTATGCCCAAATGTTGGAAGTCTGACAATGTGTAAATTTGTCAAGTGCTAAATTTGATGTGACTGTTTTTCTTCCGGTATATGTACGCAAGATGTTTGATGTAGAATTCTGTTTTTATAGAAGGCTCTATTATGATTTAATGCTTTAAATTTATTCGACCCCACCTTTCCAATGCCTGTCATGTTCTCACTTCATTTTTTTTCAAATTTATGGTCCTTTCATCCCCTTTAGTCTACTGAACTCTGGAGATTATTAAACTAGCGATTCACCTCAAATTAGGTTTACATACAGCCTATGACCAATAGTTCTACTTTCTTTTGCTTTACTTGCTGACGTCTATTTATCTACTGGATCACTCAGGTCACCCTTAGGGAGTCCAAACTTTTTTGTCGGAAGTCAGAACTGCGTTGTTTACCGGTATCTGAGCTTAATGCATCGCAACTTATCGAAGCCTATATTGTCTAAGTTTCTCAATCTATATTACCGAATCCTAGTCTATGTATTTTAGGTCGTGCACCGCTTCCTACGCCTTTTTTCTGTCATCAGACGGTTGGGAAGGTTGCCAGCCATGGCGGCAGCCCCGTCCATTTTCCTCACTGTCTTCGCCGAGACGAAATCTACCTCCTTATTACCTGCACCTAAAGTTCCTTTCATTCTCGCAGCGACCCAGGCTCAGCTTGACTCCACAATTTCTATCCTTGATCAACTCATCCTGGAGTTTGAATTTCAGGTTAATACACTCACGCAACTAGAAGCACGGCACCATAGTCTTCTCAAAATATCCCATGAGGGTCCTGGGAACCCGGCAGTTGAAGATGAACTCACGTCAATACGATGTGGGTGGCGTGCCAGCATGGCTCGTTGCGTGGACCTCGAATATTGTCTAGAGAGTGCCATCTCCTGTCTGGAACGCTCTCTAGAAGTCGCTGTCTTGGTTACGCCCCTGTTTACTTCCGCGGAAGATCTATCAATGTGTGATCGTGGTGGACACATCCTCAAAAATGTTCAAGATAATTTTGAGGACCTCAGGCAGCGTCGTCAGTTCCTTACGCAGGCGTGGAATCGACACTTTTCCAATCATATTCGTTCAGTTCAAACTGAATAAAGATGACGTCCACTTTAACTTTTTTTGTTTTTTTTTGACCGTTTTAAGTTTGTCAGCTTTCTACGTCTAGACTCTTTTTGAGTGTGCAGATGGATAATTTGGAGGTCGCTGTTGGGGAGCTGCTTTGGGCTCGTGACAACTGGATTATCGAAGCATCGGCTTTATCTCATGACATTTTAACCAGGGATCCCGTGGAGGTGTTCCGTAATGTAAACCACTTGGAAGACGAAATGACGAAACTAATACGCGCCACTGTCCATGCCTCAGATGAAAAAACCGAACAAATAGTGAATAAATTGGCCGTTGTTGTTGATTATGTGGATAAACTTGACTTCTCAAAGCTCTCAAATGCGGACAAAGCCCAAGCATACCTTCTAAAGGGAAAGGTAAATTGAAGTCATACGCGAAACCTCCTTCAGGCGTTGAACGTTGCTGTCCCAATTATGGAACAGAAAAGGGAAAGCGCTGCTGAGGCCAAAACTTGCCTCGAAAAAGCTTTACAGATAGACCCAGGTCTGTCCGATGCATGGTGTGAGCTCGCCGAGCATGAATGGATGTTATGTGAACCTGAACGCGCAGTTGCACCTTTGCAGACAACACTTAAGTTAAACGTAAGCGGCATAATGCACGCCTCAGTGGTCATTCACCTTATTATGGAAGCTGGTATCACGGGATCTCCGAAGTACCCTGTTCTTGCTGGTCTTCTCGTGGTGCCATGCTCATCCATAGTACTGAAAGCTTCAAAGTAGTTAGAATTTTAAACTGTTGTTATAGAAGCAAAATGCTGATGCGCTCTGGCGTTTGTCAATGCTCCTGCGTCAATTACCCGCCGAGAGCACAGCGAAGAGAGCTCTTTTCGAGTGCTCAGAGCTGTTGGACCTTTTGGCCCCCGGGGGTTCAAGCAAAGACAGTCTTTCGGTCTCCCTTCGACTGGCTCATGCCGCCGTCAAGGCCGATCCCACGTCTGGTAGAGCCTGGGAGTGCCTCGGCAATGCCCTGCTCACGGCGTTTCTCTCGGGACCGCCCGACAAAACCGCCGGATTCATTGGACGCTCCCTCGCGGCCTTCACACAGGCCTCAAAGCATCCCAGTGTTGTTGCGCAACCACATTTTCACTACAATCGGGCTGCAGCACTGCACTACAAGGTGGGTTGTGTCGATGTTGGGAGTGCTCGTGTAGTGGAATAATGTATAGGTAGTGAAAACAAAGTGTGGTGGGATTTCAAAGGGCTTTCCTCATTCTAAGACGAATTAATTCAAGCTTAAAGTGGGGTTGTACAACTGAGTAAACTTAAAATAAATATTTGTGGCAGCAGCGTATTAAGGAAAAGTGGATTTATGGGAAAGTCCACAAAAGGATGGCAATTTGTGCCTTAACGTTGGATTCCGCGTGAATTTAGTCAAAGGTGTCGTTGAGAGATATGAATGAAAAAGTATGCCGCAGCAAAGAGATTTGTCGGTGAATGCAGATTTTAGTGGGGCCTGAGTAAAGATATTGGAGGGGGGATACTAGATTGGTTTTGTGACGTAGGGAGAAGCTGGGACAGGCAAGAAATGAGGCAGAGCCGACGAAGTGGTTGATCGAATGCGTTTAACGACATTCCAGTAAAAAGTGAGTGAAGCAGCAGCCCATGAAGTGTCAGAGTAGAACACCAGGATGCGCTAAGACAATCAAACGCAGTGCTCAGAGCAAGGTGTTTGGGTGAGAGTTGCCCCTCGGGTTCGCTGTTCTATTTTTTGCTGTTCCATTTCCCGCCAGGACGACTTCTCGGGGGCCCTGGTGTCGTGGCTGCGCGCGGGCCTCCTCGACCCGGCGTGGCCAGCACCCCGCGCCAGCGCCACGCGTTGCCTGAGGGCATTTCGGAAAATGGACGCGATTGTCCACACACAGGCCGAGGATTTCGATAAAACAACGCGAAAGCGAATTGCGAGCCTGATTTCCTCGCTGGCCCCCTGTCTCGCCGCCGACGGCGGTCAGCCCCTAGCAAAACTTCTTGGCCCGTTTCGTCCCCGCAAGCAGGGCTCAAAATCTGCAGCTGTGACCTCGACAATACCCGACTTGGAATTCCGGTTATTTAAAGACCTTAAAGTAAGCTGTGCTATGACCAATTTTTGTCACTTGGGAGATGATCTCAGAACACACACCCATGTTCGAAGACCTGACGTACTGACATCGGAGGTGACATTTGACTTGAAGACGCGGTACCATAAGGTGGTTATTAACATCCAGTAATCATCAGTTACATTTCCCCAAGTGTTGTGTCTTGATGGTCTATGTGTTGCGCTTTGTGTATTTTGGGCGTTGGTCATAGCATGGGCTTTGTCACTTCTTGTCAACTGTGATTCCTCTATTTTTTTTAAAACTGTACAATCTGTATCAGCGGACCAGACGATGGCGCAAGCCAAAGCCCGGACACCTGCTCAAATCTGCAATGTCTCTTAGCCTCTGATTGGTCAGATGAGAATTAACTCTTCCTGGCATTGATCCTCGATAGAATAGATTATCGTGGGGCTGAACCCTTAGGGAAATACAGGATACGCAATGTTTTTGGGATTAACTGGCCTTATTATTTGCTCAAACTGCCTTTTTTGAACTGGCTATCTCTAGACCGGTAATAACTTCGGCAAAGTGGTCTGTGGTGGCGTCGTCACCTCCCTACCCTCGGACAGTGACCTCGCTTTAAACCTCCTTCTCGTGGATGCTGAAGGCTCCTTCCTAGTCTTGCGCATTCATCAAATCAGCAAGGTGAGTGTTGGTTGTCTGACAACTTGCCACGAGCACTCAGATCTTATTCGTAACAAGCTCCTGCAGGTTTAATCCACATTCGGTGCCAAGTCAGAACCCTGCTTAATATGAAGCGCTTTGTTGTGTAGTTGTCAAATCGTGTTCGTCAATCCTTAATAAGGGAAATTCTTGAGCCTTATTGGTTACCTATCGATGCTGAGGTTGTGCTAACAGACATACGCTGTAATTGACCAACCGTGAAACTCGAACCCACTTAATTGCACAGTATGCACACAACACACATCTTGCAGGAGGGGAAGATGTTCTTGGACCCCCGAATATCCAAATCACTTGCTAACCATTCGTAGGGCAGTAAAGGTATGTATTTTCTCTGAATTCGACCCACCAAAATTAGTGATTTGCAAGGGGCATGCCTGGTCTTGTTGTTCCAGTGTGTAAAGCTTAACGTGGACCCAGATGCTCGCGCCACGGCGTCATGTGGTAATCTGCTTCGTCAAGACTTGGAAATAAACAACTGTTTTGACGTTTAATTTCCAAAACAAAGTAATGTGAAAAAATAATTGTCTCTCCACAACTTGATTTAAGCGTGTCTGTATTGATGGAACAAAATCTTTTGACGAAATATTGGCTTAAGAGTGTTCATGTGCAAGTAACAACTTTACCGTTTCGTCGCCTATAAAAAGTGATTTCAGAATCTGCGATTTCATCGTCAAAAGTAAATTGCATAATGTAGTTAAAGTTACAATTCACGCAAAATAGGTTTCAAATCGTTTGTGGGTTTAACTGAGCTTCGTAGAAACTACGCTACTTTGCTTATGTTGCTTTGCTGAACCCAATGATAGTGATTGGCCAAGACATCCAACTTGCATTGAAATTTCAAAATGTAACCGCTCGCTGTTCTGTTCAGAAATTAGCACTTATAATTAGTTCAAGTAACTTGGAGGATGTGAAATCAGAATTAGGAAGGCTGCAAGCTTTTAAAGCTTATTTTAGAGCTGCCTCATTACACTCGTTCGCCTAATCACTGTCGGGCCTCGAGGGATAAGTCCTAATCTACTCCAGATTAGTGCACGCCCGCAGCTAATTGCCCATCACTGACCAGCTAAATACGGCTCTCTCCGCGAATTTTTTCCGTACCCAAAAAGCACTCTTCTTTTGCGTTGCGACCCTTAAGTGCTCGGCTAACGAGTAATCCGTGCACACACTGCCTCAATCGAAACTGCTACCTGGGCACAGTTTGAACCTACCATTCCGTGTTCAACACGCTTCCCCATTCCATGAGCAGTTCTTCCCGACATTATCTATCAAATTATTATAAGAGACGTATCGTTTTGGCAGCAGATTCTTGTAGTCACGTTCACTAGTGTACTAAATAATCTACACTCGAATCTAGCGACTTTAGAATTGCGCACTGCGTTTCATATGCTTAAATTACTGGGGTAAAATTGGTCAAAACGTCACCCCTCGTTCATCAGATATCACTGTGCCCACACGAACACATGGTGTTTGTACTCAATGTTTGTCGAGGCTAATTTGTAAACATGAAAATTTTTACGTTTTATGTGTGCTTTCGTCTGTAGCAAAAATGTGCCTAAGTACTTTAAAGAAGACATTATCGGTGAATGCATTTTTTTTACTTGCCAGCACTCCCCATCAACCCAAAACGCACGATATCATTTTGGGGTCATCAACCTAGCCCGACTCACCATGCGTCTAGGTCCTGGCCAACCAAGTACAATTTAAATTTGTAGGCTTTTTGCTTTATAACATCACAGGTAAACAGTGCTGCTGAAATATCGAGTGGTTACGGTAGTTTGTGGCCAGTTTGGAACCAACTTAAGTACAGTACACTTTGTGAAAAGTAAAATTTACTAATTCGTAATGTACTCTCCGTCTTACCCCACAATTCTCTTAATATTTTACAAGTTCTTGAATGCTGCCTTTTTGAATCTGCGTGGTTGTTTTTCAAGGATATTCCGAAGGTGGTTTGTAACTGGTTGACAGGATTAAATTGTTGGCCATTGGTAAAAGGTGAGAATCTGAGGGCAGTGTCTGGCATTTCCCAATTTAAATCTACCGATTGACAAGTGCTCTAGCGTTGTGGCAATCGTGTGCTGCCTTTTGGATTCTCCGAATTCGGGAGTTCTCGACTTTTCACAGTGGAGCTGGTTTGATTCCTCACCATACTCCTCATTTATTTTTTGTCCGGCTCGAAAGGGCCTCTCAAAGATGAATCGTCTCCAATCAGCCCACATGACACACAAGGGCATTTCCATTGAGTGCAATTTTAGCCCTTGCCATAAATTTTGCCCTTCAACTTCAATTCTCTCCATTTTCTTTCCTTATCACACTGTTGCACACAAACCATTTTTCATCTCCACTCATGACTTGAACCGTGGTAGGTCTCGTTCCGCTGACGGGTCAGGAGAGGAGCGGCTGAGGGAAAGCTGTGCTGTCCAATTGCGCCAAACCGATATACTGATTTTCAATGTGCATTCAAGCTGCCCTGAAGCGCGAAATGCGGGCAATGTGCCAACATTCAGTCCGTAGAGGCCTAAATTAGCAATACCGCAAAACCGGTCATAACCCAAGAAGAGAGAGG